GGTAGGCATGGCCAGGAGAGGACTGGCATGTGGGGCCACGCCCATCTCCCCAGTCAGCACCCAACCTCGCTGCACCCCACTTGCCCACACCTGTGTTCCTCGAAGTCCTAAAGAGATGGTTTGAAGAGTTGTTTCCAATTAGTTCATACTCTTCTCAGGAAAGAGAGATGCTCTGGAAAAGCCCCCTGGGAAGGAGGGCCCACTGGGCACTGGGCACAGGGCACTGGGCACCGGGCAGAGACCTAGAGCCCTAGCAAGGCCGTTTGTGGGCTTCAGCTGAGCTCCAGCCCCTTGGCCTCCCCGGGCCGTCCGCCTCCCACCCCCACTCTGTGCCTAAGACCTGCAGGGCTCGAGCACCTGAATCTGCTCGAAGGGGATCTCGAAGCTGAAGGACTCGTTGAAGTACGGGTTCAGCGTCTTCTTCTTCACTGTCGTCTTCTTCTTTTTGAGCCTCTTGCCATTCTGCATCAGGTGGATCTTCACATAGGGATCTGTGGAGGCAGAGAGGGTCCCCTCAGGCCCCCCATCCCAGCAAGTGCACCGAGGGCTGCCAGAGTGTCAGCGGAGATGGAGTCTCTTGGCCTCTGAGCCAGCTTAGAAATCCGAGTCATGGACAGACAGTCCACGTGACCATCCGGTTCAAGGGAGGCAAGAAGGATCATGTCAAGGCCCGCCTCTGATCAGCTGGGCTGCCTTCTGGAACATTCTGCTCAGGGAGATTTCTTAGTCTAAGTAAGGCCTTGGTGACAAAGCGTGCAGGGGTTGATTGGTGATGCCTGTCCCAGGCAGGGCCAGCATCTGCTGTGTTGGGATCCTGACCTGATCCAATCCAATCCTCCCAACCTTGCAGGTGGGAAACTGAGGCCAGCGAAGAGAAATGACCTGCCCAAAGTCACACGGAGAGACGGCACCCAGGGTTCTGGTGGGAGCCAAGCACAGGGCTGGTTCTCTGGAAGGCATAGTAAAGGCTGTGGACTTCACCCTCCAGAACCCCATGCTGTGGGCCAGCCCCAGTCACCACCAGGCTAGTCTGAAAGTCAGAGTTTCCCCTTGGAGCAGGGGAGAGCCTGCAGCCTCTCCTGGAAACTGTCTCCAGTTGTGGCAGAGGGAGAGGCATGCTTCACGCTAAGCCCTGCCCACTTCTACACTTCTCTGGGAAAAGTAAAACCCCAAGTCACTAACTCGTCTAGGGGGTGAGATCTCTCTGATCCTTCATGGCCAGAGGGCACTGGGAAGGTGGCTCAGATTGAGGACCGGGGACCTCAGGAGAAAGGGGAGAGCTAGGAAGCCAGATCTGCCCTGCTCCCTGGGGAGACATCAGGCAGGAAAGTTTCCCTCCCCACTGGGAGGTGCAAAACTCCGAGGACTCGGCACAGTGGCTGGCTCGCTGGTGCCACCCAATGGCGACCAGAAACACTGCATGTACCTGAAAGGCCGCCCACGTCCATCTTCTTGAGGTTCTTGGCCTCCAAGATACACACGGTGAGCTTCCCGGCTGTGGGCACGTAGCGCAGGGAGGTGCAGATGTCACCTAGCTTCTCTGGCTGTCCGGGGGAGGAAGCAGGACTCAGGGTCACCTCAGCCACCCCACTGCCTCAGCGTGCAGAAATCTCCTCCCTGCGTGTCTGGTCAGACAGTAGTTTGTCCCCACCACCCTCGGTCAGAGTCCCCACGTCTGTGATGGTGGGAGAAGGCCTTTCAGCAGCTGACTGTGAGGTCCCCTGCCAAGGTGGACAAAGGCCCTGACGGTGAGAGGCCATGGCCGGAGGATACTGGCCAGTAAGGGAGGCGGGTAGACATGGGTATTTTCGGGCTCCTACCCCAGGCCCCAGTGAGGGCTGGGAGCAATGATCAAGCATTTCCAAGAGCCTTCCTCCCGGGTAACTCCCGCTACTGAGCTCGCCCCTGTGGGCCATCTCGCTGGTAGAGCGAGCTGTGGTTTTCCAAGCAATTGCATCCTTTTTCTTTTGTTATTGTCACTGTCACTCTTTCATGAAGACAAGGCAAGGATTCTCTGTGACAATAAGAATGTGAGGTTCCCAAAGGGAGACGATTTGCCCAGAGTCACACAACTCAGGACTGGAGGCGGCTTGAGGACTCAGGGCTCCTAGCTCCCCAGGGCATCTACAAACACCGCATGCCAGGGTCCAAGCTTCTCAGGGTCAAAGCCACCTGGGCCAATAGAGACTGCATCCTCCCGGCCTGGCTCGGTGTGCCGACCTTCCTCTTAGACACGCCTGTGCCCCAGAAGGGGGCCAGGGCTTCTCTCTACCCACATCAGTGCCCGCTACCACACGAGGCTAGGGCGGCAGCCTGGCCGGGTCAACAACTGGTGCCTGGAAGCGGGGGCGGCTACCAGGGAATTTTGGGAATATAGCGGCTGCTCAGTAAATATCTGGGGAGTGAATGGATGCTGTAGCCATTGCTGGGTGGACAAACCCCCGAGCTGAGAGTTTTATAGCAAGCATGAGCATTCCTTGTGGGTAAACTGAGGCACGGTCATGACTCGCGCTCCCTCAGTGGCAGCAGAACCTCCGGAGTAACGGTAAGTGTTCCTATCTGTGAGTGGGTGCCACACACCACAGACTGCGCCAAGAACTTTACATACACAGCCCCCACCTGTAAAGCGAAACTACAGGAGAGGACCCGGGGCCAAAGGGTTTAAGTACCCAGTGCAGGGTCACCTGGCCAGTGGTGTGGAGCTAGGATCCCGCCCGGGTCACCCTTTTCTGGTCATGCCAGGAGACAGAAGCCCAGGTGAACTGCTATATCCGTCTTTCTGCCTGGTCAGGCCAGTCTCTGCTCTCACCTCCTCCTTCTCGCCGCCCTGCAGGTCCCTCCACTCCTCGATGGGCTGGCCCAGGTCCACGGTGTTCATAGGCACCTTCACCTCCCCGATAATGTCATGTTTGGAGAAGCGGTCGAAGTCGTAGATGGCCATCACCAAGGTTTTGCCCCCCAGCTCCTGGTATGGCACCTGTGGGTACACGCAGATCAGAAGGGGCCAGAGTGGCTTGTGCACCTGCAGGCAATACCGGGGGACACCGCTACCAGCCAGCCCACAGGGCTCCAGCATATCTGTGGGACAGAGCAAAGGCCCAGGGCTTGCACTGGCAGGGAGGGTGGGCAGGGAGTGAGAGACATGCAGCCCCAGTCTAGCCTGCTATTGTCCTGCCAGAGCCCAGGCTAAGGGCCAAGGGCTGGCCTGCAGAACTCGGGGAACCCAGGTCTGGAAGGTGAGCTAGGTCCTCAGTTCTCTTCACCTTGAAGGTGAAGGTTTCATTGAAGGCGGGGTTCAGGGTCTTCCGGTGGACTTTGGTCTCATATTTCTTCTTCTTGTCTGGAAGGAGGAAGACCTTGACGTAAGGGTCTGAAGTGCCTCCCATGTCCAGAGCAGGCAGTTCGGCGGCTTGAAGAACGCCCACGGTAAGCTGCAGAGAAGGAAAGAGGAAGGAAGGGGCCTGAGTCTCAGAACCCCTCCAGCACCAGACCTGCCCTGGGCCCAACTCGACCAGCTCCTCCCAGAGGTGGCAGTGGGGACAGGAGGCCAGGCTGGTGCTAGGGAGGAAGGCTGACCTACAGCTCCAACCCCAGGAGTCGGGAAGTCACTTGAGAACCTGAAGCTGAGAGGGCAGTGGCTTGCCCAGCTTGGTGGGCAGCCGAAAACAAGGTCACCTGGAAGCTTCCCCAGGCTGGTGGCCAAGCCAGGGTCAATGTCCAGGATCCAGGTCCTGCAGCTGCCAGCCTGCCCCACTCCAGGGAAAGAAGCAATGCACGTGTGTCTGGGAGAGTGCTATGGATCGAATGGCCCCCAAATCCACGTGTCGAGATTTGGTTGTGATAGGATTAAGAGGGTGGAAACCGGTGTAATGACGGTGTTGAAAGATGGGGCCTTTGGAAAGAGACTAGGATCAAGGTCATCAGGGTGGGGCCACCTTGGCTGACCCGTCGAGGGTTTGTAAGGAGAGAGAACGGGGCAGACAGACTCCTGGACACAGTCACTCTACTCTGTCTGGCCCTGGTGATGGGACACCCCAGGATGTGGCAGGACCCCACCCACTGTGGGCTTTATTCCTCAGCGTTCCAAACCATGAGCTGAGAAAACCTCAATGTTTGTAAAGCACCTAGTTTCAGACATCTGTGGTCCTAGACTTAGAACAGGGGTTCCTTCTGACCCTTTCCCCCCAACTCCCAGCCCTCCCCTGGTCTCCTGTAGGCCCCCAGCCCACCCCACACACCTGGTTGGCCTGGAAATCATAGTCCAGGGAAAACTGCAGCTTGCCCAGGTTCTCTGGCTCCTTCTCCTCCTCTCCTTCCCCTTCCCCCTCAGTCAGGCCTGTCTCGGCGTCATCGTCATCCTGGGGGGAAGGGGACACGAGTCAAGGCTGAGCACGAAGCAATGGGGAGCAGCCCCTTCATGACAGACTCTGACCAGAGCTGGGTGTGGGGCTGAGGGGGGAAACATGGCACCTCCGGGCCCCTGCTTCTCCACAGCCCGATGGCACCCCAGGACCCCCTTTGGACCCCAGCTCTGGGTTTGAAAGACAGAGCATTGAGGCCATTGAGGCTGTGACAGACGCTCTCCAGCCTCTCGAGGAGGGGATGGGGTTTGCTTCCCTTGTAGCCCCCTCCCCAGTGCTTTCCCCAGCTCAGACCCCACCCGAGACATACCAACAGTGCAGTCCAGGCAGACGGGAGCAGCGAGGGTCCACGGAGGTGGGAAGGAAGGAAGGAAGCGACGTGAGAGAAAACCCTACAGCTCCCACAAGCTCCTGAGGTCATGGCCACTTGGTGAGACCAGGCTGGGGTAGACTCTGGCCATTCTTGGACTCCACAAACTCATACACGCACACATGTATGTGAGTGTGCGCGCGCACACACACACACTCAAAGGCCATCTGATCCCTGGCCAACTTCTTGAGATCAGGTCCTGTCAGCCATCCTCTCTACTGGTTCCTTGGGAAATCTCCCAGCCACTCCCAAAACGAACACGGGGGAGAGGAGAGTGCGCACAGGGCCTCTGCAGACTTTAAGGAGACGCTTCGGTCTATCAGGCACCCCTAGTCTGGGCAAGGCCAAGACAGGAGTAAATAAACACAATGACGTGAGAGAGAGACTCCACAGGGCCTTGTCTTGGGGCCTCTGGGCCTTTCTGCACCTCACTGGAGGCCACGCCCCACCCCAGCCTGACGCCTCCATGAGACTGTCCTTCAGGCTTCCTGGCAGGAAAACACAGGTTTGCCCAGTGCTACCCGCCTGCTGGCGAGAGCAAGGGAATCTCTCTTTGCAACATTTTGTCCCAGTAGCCTCTTTGGGGGTCAATATATTGTCCTCTTCTAACCCAGAAGAAACCCCCTCCACTCGGTAAAGGGAGGACGTTGTGATTGCACTAGCCGAGCCAGCAGGGCCCATGCGGAGTTGCAAGGCGACCTGTCTGGCAGTGGAAGCCCAGCATCTCCGCCTCACCCTTGGGCCCCAGGAGCACAGCCCGGCCCACCCGCGCCCTACCTGGCCCCCTTTCATGTCCTTCATGTTCATGGCGTTCTTCATACCCTTGCCCTTCTCCTTCTTGTTCTTCTTCTTCTTGCAACAGCACTTCTTGCAGATGCAGAAGCAGCAGGTGAGGAGCAGGAGGCCGGCGACCACGGCGATGGCAATCAGGGCCCAGGGTGGCACTGCCCACGCACAGAGGACCGAGTCAGCAGGGCCACGCCATGTACCCCACAGCCCCTGATCCCATCACGCTGGCAAAAATGGGTGGGGACTATGACCTCCCGGTGCCCACACGCCACATTTCTTAACCACGCCCCCAGGAGTGAACTGCATGTGAGCTGCTCATACTCCGCGTGCCTCTTCCCTAATCCCGTACTTTCCGGCCCGCTGCCCTGGGGGGCCAGCAACCAGGGCAGCGTGTGGAAGGGCCGCGGTTTGGCTCTACTGAGTTTGACAGTTTGATCCATGGAGAACTGGCTCGTTCTGGAGAGTGTGGGGCAGCCCTGATCACACCCCAGCATGTGCGAGTCCCTTGTGCGCAGTCTCCAGAGGCCTGACTCAGAGACCAGGCTGCTGAAGGTTTCCTCTGGGCCTGGAAGGCTGGGTTTTGCAAAACCCAGTGTTCCAAACAGGCCCGGGGCTGCTCTCCAGGGTTCTGAAGGAACTTCTCTTACAAGTAGGGGCTTTTATTTCCTAGCTTCCAAAGTCATTTGAAAGCCTTACTGAAAACTTGAAATACTGGTCTCTGTGTCCGGAGTTTTCGTCTGTGACAGCATTCTAAGTTGCAAGAACTTTCATTTCCCCTTGGTCCACTCATTAGTTGCGCACGGTATTCCTGTACCCCATTTCTAAAGGGGCTCCCCAAGCATCCAGCCAAAACCCAGTCGCATCCCCAAGGGGCCCCCATCCTTCCTCATCCCTGCCCTGCCCATGAGGCCTTTCTCAGCCTCACGGACACTCACAGGGGATCTTGTTGATCTCGTTGAAGAACTTCTCCTTCAGCTTGGCAAACATGTCCTCCTGGCTCTCCCCAGCACCCCCACTCTCGGTGGAATTTTCTGCAGGTCCAATGGGCATCGTGGCGGTGGTGGTGGCAGGAACCACTACGGGCTCCTGGTTCCTCTTGAAGATGGTCATGGTGGCAGAGAGGTTAGCTGAGGATGAGAGGGGAAGAGGCCCGAGTGAGACTCTGCCCAAGGACCGGGAGAAGCTCTCAGAAGCTAAAGGCTATTAAACGCTGGTACCTTTGTCATCACCTCACATGAAGGACAGCAGTGACAGTCTTCATTAAGTTAGTTCCTACACGTGTCGGTTGCCTACGAGGTACTTCCCGTGCGTATCTCATTTAATCCAAACACCCTCCTGCTTTGTTACTGCTCCCACTCGATAGATAAGGACAGGGAGGTTCCACTCAGTCCGGCAGTTTTCCCAAGGTCACTAGATAAGTTCTGGAAGTTGAGTCTGGAGCGGTCTGCCTGACCCGCAGCCTACAGGCCTAACCGCTCTCTTGAGTTTATTTAAATCTAACCCCACAGTAACCCTCGGAAGGAGGCAGGCTTTTACACTGAAGACTCCTCCTTCAGCCTCCCCCTTCCTCGCAGCCATGACAGCACTCTGCCTGGCTTCTCACCTGTCTCCTGGACACTCTCCTCCTCCCCAGCCCCAGCCCTCCGAGGTCCTCTCCTCAGCCCTCTTCTCTCTCTTCCCAGCCCACCCCCCCACCAACACGCACTCAGGGCTTGTTTCCACCTCTCCTCTAAGGAGGCAGCACCCAGGTCTACACCTCTAGCCCCTTCCTCCCCTGAGCATCAGCCTAGTGTTGGCCCCAACTCTAGGTTCGACTCCAGCCCCCTCCCACAGAGCAGCTTCTTGGCCTTCCCAGAAAAGTAGTATTAATTAACAATAAAAGGAATCCTCGCCTATTGCAGAAAATTTAGGGGAGAGAGAGGAAGGCTTATTGTAGAAATTTGAGGAGAGAGAGAGCCATTCTCCGTAATTCTACCATCCAGAGATAGCAAATGTTAACACAGTGGTATTTTATGCTGCTATTTTTTTAGAGCGTGCCTTACCTGTTGAGACCATACTACGGGTATAGAGATTGTCTCTCTCTCTCTCTTTTAAATATGAACTGTTATTATAAGACTTTTCCTTTATTATTAAAGTTTTCCTTTATCATTAAATAGCTAAATGATATCCCAGTGCATAGTAATGCCATAATTGGTTTAATCATTCCACTATTAGACATTTACATTGTTTATAACTTCTTGCTAATAAAAATATTATTATAGACCATCCCATAGCCTGGGGTTATGGTGGCTAGATTCCACATGTCCGACTGTGAGGTTTGAGTCCCAGGCCCAGCAGCTTGAGAAACCTGCTGGTTGTGTGCATGCATGCCCAGAATCTTGCAAGGAGGTGGGAGAAGTGGAGACAGGCTGCAGCGAGACCATGCTTTGTCGCCCTCCTCTCTCTCGCTCTCTCTTTCTCCAGCCAGTGCACAACAAATTGTTAAATATACTTTTTTTTTTTTGAAGGGTTTTTGCTACAGGGACCATGCACTTCCCAGAGAGAGACAGAGAGACAGAAAGCGAGAAATTACCCCTCCAGGGGGAATGGTCATGCCGCAATCCCTTCTCCTCCATTCTCCTCTCGGGATCTTGGGCACGCATGCACACGCACCCGGTGTGAGTTTAAACCACCAGGTCTAGGACTCAAACCGTGGTCGACTACATGGGAGTTCAGTGACATAGCCATTACGCCAACTGCTGGTCCCTCAAATATACATATTCTTTTTTTTTTTTTTTGAGAGTTTTTTTTTGCTATAGGGCGTGTGCACTCGCCAGACAGACAGAAAGAGACAAAGAGACAGAAAGCAAGAAATCACCCCCCAGGGGGGATGGTCACACCGCAACCCCTTCTCCATTCTCCTCTCAGGATCTTGGGCACACACGCACACACGCCCAGCATGAGTTTTAAGCCACCGGATCCGGGACACAAACCATGGTCGACTACGTGGGAGTCCAGCGACATAGCCATTACGCTAACTGCTGGTCCCTCAAATATACATATTCTTGTGATGAGTATAAGCTTTGTTTCACTTAGGCAATGTTCTTATGAGCTTCCAAACTCAGCCCCTCGCCCCCAAGCCTGACCTCTCCATTGAGCTATTTCTAATTCTCCAAATAGGGTACAAGCCCCCCTTCTGCTGAAGTCCCACGAGGCCAGGTGCTGTGCTGGCATCTACGTTCCTCCATGCCAACTGCATGGTGGGCACCGAGGATGGATCCGTTGACTGCCTTCCTTCCCCCAAGGGGACACAGAATAGTACACCCAGAGGTGCTTCAGGTTACAAGAATAAACAGCACGGCAGGTGGCATGGTGCTTAAGGTGCTGAACTCCCACATGGCCAATCGTGTTTCGAGTTTCAGACCTGACAGCTTGCTTCCTCACTTTCCCCCTCTCTCTTTCTCTCTCTCTCATTCTGTCCCTTTCTGGTCAAATTAAAATAAATAAAATAAAGTTAAACAAAATAATTATTTAAAAATAAAAAGAGGGGCTATCAGGTGGCGTGGTGGTTGGGGGCCCTGGACTCCCACATAGCCGACTGCAGTTCGATACCCAGTCCTGGAAGCTTGCTTTCTCACTTTTTCTCCCTCTCTGGTCAAATTAAAATAAATAAATAAATAAAGTTAAATAAAAAATCATTCTTGTTTAAAAAAGTATAAGCAGTATATCCACTTTTACTTAATGAGGACTTACAGCATTTAAAAACTTACAGCATGCCTGAAAGGTCACAGAGCAAGATGCACACAGCACAAGCATTGTCTAAAGGAGAACTGAGACCTCTCATTGCACGTTAGGGGACAGTTAGTTTTCACTGCACCCAAGGTTCTGCTGGGAAAGTCTGAGGAACTCTGAAGAGAGGAACTCTTAAAGGAACTCTTCCTTTAAGAGCCCAAGTTCTCAGGCCCCAGCTTTCAGTACTGTTGGTGACCACATGCTGAGAGAGAGAGAGAGAGAGAGAGAAATTTGCTATAAGGTGGTCGCACTTCCTGGAGAGACAGAGACAGAAAGCAAGAATCACCCCCCCAGGGGGGATGGCCATGCCACAGTCACTTCTCTTCCATTCTCCTCTCAGATCCTGGGCATGCGCGCATACACAACCCATGTGAGTTCTAAGCCACCGGGTCCGGGACTCAAACCAAAGTCGACTAAGTGAGAGTCCAACAACGTAACCATCACACCATCTGCTGGTCCCATCATCAAGCTCTTATTAAACTCCTACCATGTGCCAGGTTAAAATAGCCTTGATTCTAGAATTTGTGTGGGAATGAAGGAGGAAGGGCCACTGGACCTCATCTCTGGGGAGATGCTCTGGGAGAGAGCTCTGGCTTGATGGGATCTGCAAGGAGCCCCAGCACCAGACCAGGAGGAGTGTCCAAGCTTGCAGCTGTCTCTACCTCCCCTCAACACACCATGCTGTCCGGGGCCCCTGTGGCCTTTTAAATATTATTATTTATTTACCAATTTTAATTTCTTTATTTATTCCATGACAGAGAGAGAAAGAGACAGAGAGACAGCACCTCCAATGGGGTCTTGCTGCAGTCTCAGTCAGCCCCAGGTCGTGGGTACACGTGATCACGGGTATGCTCAGGGAGGCCTCCAGGCCCGAACTGGGAACCTCCCCATGAGGGTCAGTCTCACAGAGCATTGCACTTTACCACTGCCTTTATTTAAAACCCAGCGTTACTAGGTATAGTTCCTATTCCACAGAATTCACCAGTGAAAGTGTGCGGTTCACTGTGTACAGAGTTGGGCGAATACGAGCGCAGTCTCGGTTTAGAGCAGTCACCACCCGAGAGACCCGGACCCATCCGCAGCTGTTCTCCATTCCCACCGCCTCCCAGCCCTAATGACCACTCGTCTGTCTCGAGAGATTTGCTTACTCTAAACATTTAGTGTAAATGGAATCATATAATACATGGCATATTCCACAGCTAGCTTCACTCTCTTAGCATGCTTTCTCGAGGTTTATCCACGGTGTAGCACGTACCAGATCTTCATTTTGGGCACATGCATGCATACACGCCTGGCATGAGTTTTAAGCTGCCAGGTCCAGGACTCGAATTGCAGTGGACTATATGGGAGTCCAGCAACATAACCATTATGCCATCTGCTGGTCCTGAAGGGGCTCTTTATAAACTCATGAATGACCACGGGGTCACTGGCCCCAGGGACATATTCAATGTCATTGAACCAGACCTCTCAGCGGTAGTCAGCCCTTGGCCACACACCCTTGGCCACACACCCTCCTCCCCGAACCCATTCCCTGATGTTCATCATGACTCTGGCTTCGAGCTCCTTAAGCTGTCCCAGGGTTTGCCCAGGCACTCCTGTTCTCATGCAGGGGTGTCCCCAGGTGGTCTCTGCACACCCTACCCCCAGTTATCCCCTGGATGATGACAGGTGGAGCCTGTACCACTTCTGAGCCCCAGGCCCAGAGGCCCAGCTGGCCCTGGACATACCACGTGTCCTGGGTCTACTCCTCTCACCTCCATCGGTTCTGCACTAGCTGCCAACACAATCCTTGTGAAATGCAGACCCAAGCCAGGACCCTCCAGAGCCCTGCAAAGCCCTTGCCCTGTGTCCAGCATCGTCTCGTCTTCCCCTCTTTGGGCCCCTGACACCAACATGCAGGCCTTCCTTCAGTTCCCTGAACTGCATGACCTCAGGGCCTTTGCACATGCTGTCCCTCTGCCACTTCACTGAGGGAATTGTTAGCCCAGCACCTCCTCAAGGAAGCCTTCCTGACTTGTACCCACACCTCCACCTCCCCTAGACCGCCAGGCCAAGGCCCCTTGCTTCCACAGCTCTCAGGCCTATCCTCGCGGTATTTCCACAGCTTGTGACTGTGTGAGCAGAAACCTCATTTGCTTTGCTCGCCACCGCAGCTCCAGGGCAGGGGTTGGTAAACTCTGGTAATCCAGTCCAGCATCTAGTTGTAAATAAAATTTTACCGGAACACCAGGCTCGCTTGTTTACATATTTCCTGTGGCTGCTTTTGCCCTACGACAATGGAGCTGTTTAGCCACAGAGGCCGTGTGGCCTGCAGAACCTAAAACTCACGGTGCGGCCTCTCCAGAAAGGACGGCCA